TGATTTCCTTATGACAAATAGACTCCTGGAAGCCATATAATTTCTACAAATACTTTAATACATATATCCATACAGTATCACGTGGATACTTGATCCTTTCACACGTGTTCTAATTGAAATAGTTTTAAATTCTTTCCATCTCAGTTTCCGAAAATAATGTAAATTAACTTAAGCATTATTAAAAACAATTGGACTTGATTAGCTTTTAGACATCTTTTATTAACATAAAATTTTAAATGCTCAAATACCACTATTTCCAAATTTAGATGAGTAAAAAATAGAAGTACATATCTGATGCCTCACACTCTCCTTCCCAAAACAGGCTGGATTGTATCTATTTGATTTATACACTGTGACTTTTTCCTGCTGTTTTCTATCAACCTTAATTGTGAAAAATGGTGCCATGTTGCCCTCTTGATATTATTTTGGAGATCAGTTAGGTCTTAAAGCATCCAGATGCATACAGTTCTACACATATCTGTAGAATTAGCTCACTAAGGTCTGCTCGGCAATATTTTTAATTGACTTACATGTTCTGTGGGAAAAGAAGAATCATAAAAAGTCTTTGCAATTGCATTCTTCTCTTCACTGGGTTCTCCCGTGGGATCTGGATGGATACTCCAGTTATTCAAAGTGTCAGCAACTCTGTTAATGCTGGTAGTATCTGATTGACAAAGAGGAAATGGCAGCAACTGAATTTTTCTCTAGGTACTCATTTTAGTGACTGAACTTGTTTCTCCTATGCTTTTGTATTTAAAAAGCAACAAATTTCTATTTTAATGTTGACTATTTTGCAGTTTTCCTAGACTTTGCTCTTATATTAGGCATTTCATTTCTGAAAACAAGCAAGATTTTATTATTGCTACTTTCTAAAACCTAATTACTAGAATTCTACATTAAAAGCAGTGAAAGAAATGGTATAAATACCTTCTAAAACAAAATAACTCATAAAATGTTATCATTATTCCCCTGGTTACTGTATTTCCCACACATGTAAGCATTTATATAGTGAACATTTTACCAACTGAGATTAATGGAAAAAGTCAGAACCAACTACATGCCAGATTTATAAACTATTTAAAGAAATTGGCCATAGTGAGAAGTCCAACAAAGGGTTATTTAGAAGGGGTCACACTGGGTTTTAATAAATTGATAGAAATTAGTTAGAGAAATATGTAAATTACAAAGGTTAAAAGATACTGATGGCATATTTAAGAGTATTTTACAAGCTGAATTTCTACAGAATTTTAGGTATCGCCCTTTATATCTTATATATCACTGAAATTTAATTTACAAGAAAGGACTTAAGAAAAAATGGCAGATTTTTAGACCAGCACCTAAAGCAGTACCTAACCAAAAGTTAACGGAATTTTAAGTAATATATTTTGTGGCATTGAAAAATTGCAGTTTGGGAAATGAGGTTATACAGTGTTTTGGTTATTTGATTTTTGCCTACATTATTTCCCATTGGTATTAGTAAACAAGATATATTTTTGTTTTTAATCACCAAATATTCTCTTTAACATTTTTCTCAATTTCCTTTTTAAAAGAAGCCTGTTAAATCTGAGGGCCATACAAAAAAAAGCTTTCCTTGGAATCTGCATCTTTTTAAGGTGTCTAAGTGCACAATGTTAAACCCACAAAGTTCCCTTAAAATCTAAGAATGCCTTTAACAACCTCAGCAACTTTTGACTATGAGATTGCTATTAAAGGAAAACATGCTGTCCTGAAAATAAAAACAATAAAAAACCATTTTCCTCATGATCATACTTCTTAAACTACTGCTTTTTATTTTCAATTTACATTTATACAGCACCAATTCATGATAATGTAGTATGTTTTTGTTTTTAAATTCTTTCGTGAAAAATTTCCAGGCCAGGTGTGGTGGCTCCCAGCAATTTGGGAGGCTGAGGCAGGAGGATCACTTGAGCCTGGAAGTTCAACACTAGCCTCGGCAACAAAGTGAGAACTGTCTCTACAAAAAATTTTAAAAATTAGCTGGGTGCAGTGACGTGTCTGTACTCCTAGCTGCTCAGGAGGCTGAGGCGGGAGGATTCCTTCAGCCTGGGAGGTTAAAGTTGCAGTGAGCTGTGATCACACCACTGAACTCCAGGCTGGGTGACAGAGCAAGACTCTATCTCAAAAATCAATCAATCAATAAAAAACAAAACAAAACAAAAATGTAGACAGCCATGTATTTCAATGTATTCCATCAATATTAAGTCACGTATTTCATCCATTTACCTCTCCCCCTATTTTTTTCTGGAGTATTTTAAAATAAAACTTGGACAGTATGTCATTTCATATGGCAGTTTTTAAGAACAGAACAATCCCTCTATTCTCTTTAACATCTGAATGCATTAATATATGTTAAGGAATTCAATTTAAAGTGTTTTCAACTGACAAATACTGGTCGTAGGAAATACATTAATGTTATGCCTCATTATTACTTATAAAACAGAAGGAAGAGGTGGATTTCTGGTGTGGGTGAAGGGACAGATAAAAATAGAAAAATTAAGGAAAGGGAGAGAAAATTGGGCAAAGACAGACAACACAGGAGAGAAACTAAAATGTTCTGAGGGAAGAAAGTTTTTAAGGATGAATGATGAGCATATAGAAAGAAGAGCAATAAATATGCACACTTGGCAGAAGCCTTAACTACTTCACTGCATTTGCTCTAAAAGTTAAAAAACAAAAGAATATTAGGTAGTTGTTCCTAATTTAAAATAATGACCCACATCTGTTGTTTTTGCTATTCCTTAATTAAGACAAACTTTTAAAACAAAATTTACAAAATATGACTGTACACATTCATCAAGAATAAGTAGAAAAATATTTTAAGAATTAAAACATTACTTTTTTCTTACCTGGTCCAATATTCTTTCCAACATCATCCACACCAATATTTTTACAAAGAGCCATTGGAATGATCTTTTTGTTTTCTGATGGATCTAGTGGTCTCTCCTTCAGCAACAAAGAAATACTAGGGGTTGAACTGCTCGCTGTTTGACTTTCAATGTGATTTACTTTTGACCAAGGACCGGGGTCTGAAAAATTCATGTATACTGGAGTTTTCTCAGTTTTTTTATCTGAAGTTGAAAGATCAAAGGTTGACCTTCCGCTTCTGTTTACTAAATCTCCAGATGGCTCTATGTGAAATGAATGTGATTCCTCCAGCTGTCCTTTACTGAACATTTTTCCTGAAACAATGTCATTTAATGACTCTGTTTTCTCTGTATTATTTAACAATGTATGCTGTCTTTCATTAATGCTCACAACAAGGAAGAGGTCATTTTTTGTGGCTTCAGTTACCTGATTCTCATCAATCTGATTATTTTTATTGGAAAACTGTATTTCTGTGCAAGTTTTCATGTGAACAGCAGTTTTCACATTTTTGGCTTGTAAAGAATGACTATTCTCATCGTTAAGATGAAGATGGGAAATGTTCACATTATTGTTTTCTAAGTATCCCAAACAGTTATTAAATTGACTGTTTTGCATATCACTCATATTTTTCCACATAGTTTTTCCCCCAGGGCTTGAGTTGGGTTTCACCAACATAGGCATACTATTAACATTTTTATCTGAGTTCTTAAGAAGTACTTTTGAATTATCACTAAAAGCAGCAGATGAAACGTGGTGGTCGATCACTGTATCACAGGTAACAGTTAGTTCAGGTTTCTCTGAAGTATCATTACAGACTTGCAGAAAATCTGAAGTTTGTTTACAAAGTAATATGCTGCACTCACTTTTTTTAGTTAACAGTTGTATTTGTTTTATGTTACATTGTTTATCATCTAACATAACATTACTTGAATTCTGTAAACTATATTTCTGACATGGAACAAGATTTTTTTTTATATCTAGAGATAAATCCAAATCTGCTTTGGTTTGGTCACTATTTGTAATTTCCTTCTCTAGAGCATGTTCTCGAGTCCCTGGACGCGATCTGAATTGTTTGAATGGCTCATTTTCAGAAACATCTTTATTATTATTATTTTTATATGTATTGTGTGCTGTCTCATTTAAATTACTGTTAAATGGTGTTTTGTTATTTTCAACCTCCGGATGTACATCTGTATGGTGAACATCTAATCCTCCGGTTCTTTCTAGGTGTATTTTTTCTGTTTCTGTCGTTGTATCTAACACAACAAAAGGATTATTTGGTGATTTAAATTCTGTACATCCATTGTCTTTTTCCAAGCATATCTTGTCTTTTACTTCTGTAGTAACTGATTTTTTATTGTCCGTAACATTTGAGGTTTGTACTTGACTAATTACTTCTTTATCTAAGGAGAGGGTTTTGCTTAAGGACATTTCACTTTGATTTTCATCCTGAGAAACAACAGTATCAATTTCATTCTTGAAGCTTTTTTCAAAAAGCTGTAAATCTGTCATGATGAGAACACAGTAAAATTTTATATTATACACTAAAGCCTGATTTCATAAAACATATTTATCACCTATTTTTATAAAAACAAATTTAACCTTAAATATTTTATGGGTCAATAATTATACAAACTTAATGACATCAACATTACCTAAATACTGGGTTCCCTTTGTTATAACAAGTATATCTTTAGCATGCTAAATATTTGGCTGTACCCATATTAAACTTTAATTTCATAATAGCAAAGTATTTTTGGTTTTTTAAAGGGAAAGTGAGTTGAGGTATTACAAAATGGTTTATTTTTCTCGTCTATTTGCTTCATTTAGGACATACAGTACAATCCCACATAAATACATAGCTGATAAAAATTAACTTATCATAACAGGTTACACTCTGATTTCCATTACTACCTAGGTCCAGCTGTATCTAGAAATTGCTAGCTGGCTTCTTCAAGACTGACAATCATCACTTTTATTCATTACCCAGTGAATATTTTTAAATTCTTGAATAGTTTTTGGACAAGTATATAGAATTATCTACTTAAGACATAAATTTTATTCATCTATATTCTAACAAAGATTTCAACTTTTTAATATAGTTAATCTAGAATATAAATTTCAGGTTTTTGAAAGATTTTTTTAAAAGTCCAATCATTCTCTCTACAACATCTCCACCAAGTGGTTGTTCAGCCTAGGTTTGAACACCTCCAATCAGTATCATCTTTAAACAATACTTTTTCAAGATGGAAGAATTAATAAATTATTCCAATGGTTACAGAAAGGTTATCTGAATTCAGAAAAATGCCCTAGGTCTAGTCATCAGAAGGTCACTGGTGACTCCAAGAACATTCTCAGCAAAACAGTGAAGGCAGAAACCAGAATGCAAAAAGACTAGGAATAAGTCATGAAGAGGGGAGACAGAAATGTAATTTTCTCAAAAATACTTACTGTAAATATCAACATACAAATTAGAAAATACCAATATAATTTTAAGGTTACCTTCTATAATGATTTCCTCTATAAATGAGCCTTCTTTCTTTTCTTTTTCTCTGTATTCAGTATCTGAACAAAAATTCTCCATATTTTCTTCCCTTATTTCTTGCTCAGTATTACATTTCTGTATAACGGTGTTTTCTGATTTTTCAGTTGACGTTTCACTGTTTTCATTATTTACTTCTGGAGCATTCTAGTGTAAAATGGAAGAGATTCTTTTAAAAACATTGTTTACAAGTATAAAACATTTAAGCAGATGTGATAAATGTGGAATCTGTGTTTCAGTTCAACCATTCAGCAATTTCTATTTGAAAGTCAAATGATTTTTTAGTAAGTTTAATATACCATACTCTATAATGACATCACTTTACATTCCTTTTATATAGTCTATCATATTTAAGCAAAATGGAGACATTTATACATTTTCAAACATGCATACCACATTATTATATAATACCACATGTTACATGTAATAGAAGAACCACCCTATTATTAAAAACAAGATAGACATGGCAGGTAAATTGTTTTGAGAAGTAGTCTATTTTTTAAAGAGAGAAGCTCTTGCTATGTTGCCCAGGCTAGAGTGCAGTGGCTATTTGCAGGTGCGATCATAGTGCACGACAAGCCTAAAAATTCTGGCCTCACACTATCCTCCTGCCTCAGCCTCCTAAGTAACTGGGATTACAGGTACTCACCACCATGCCAGGTGAAGCAGTATTTTTATGTATCCTTAAAACAGCGAATCAGTCCAACATGCTTTTTCTTCCCCTATATATTAAGCACATGTTATATGTGAAGCACTATACTAGGCTTTGGGATACAATGATGAACAAACTACAGTCTTTGTCCTCAAAAAACTTATAGTCTGGTATGAAAATAAGAAAATAAATAACAGGCAACTTTAATAGGATGTGGTAAGTGCTCTGATAGGGATAAATACAGGTTACCATGGGCACATACAGGAATAGTCCTGTCCCTGTTTTGGGGAGTCAAGGAAGGTTTCTTGGAGAAGGTGTTAGCTAAACATACCTGAAGTATGATATGGAGTCACAGATGGGGAGAAGGAGGCACTCCAGAAAGAATAAATGGTATATAGCAATGCTTAAGAGCTAGCAAGATTAAGAATATATTTATGGAACTATAATTTCATTTGGCTAGAGCTTACATGCAGGAAGAAGAATGAAGAGAAATGATGCTTGAGGTAAGCTGGGCCTAGGTCATTAAGGGCCTAACACAGCGTGTTAAGGAGTTTCAACTCTACCAGGAAGACACTGAGAAGTCACTGAAGGGTATTAAACAAGGAGTGAATAACATGATCTGACTGGAAAGACCATTTTGGCTGTAGTACAAAAAAATGGACCAATGTTTTCGAAACGTCATTGATGGAAACCAGTAATGAGAAATATGTTTTATAACTCAATAGGCAAATCAAACAGTACTACTGTTATACACACTAATGTTTCCTATGCTATTTCATTTTAAAAAGAATTCTGGTCACAAACCACCAAACTAATTTCCATGAACCACTGATAGGTTGAACCTAGAAGTCTGAAAAACACTAAAGGGAGAGAACACATGGGGCAGAGTGGTGCATCAGGAGCGTGCTGCAGCAGTCCAGGTGACATCAGTAAAGACGAAGAGCTGTGAACCCATTGGTGATTTATGGAACTAAAGTTAATAGGACTTGGTCAATGATTGCATGTGAAGGCTAAGGGAGAAGGTGAGTCAAGATCGACTCCCGTAGTTCAGATTAGGTAAGTAGATGACTGGTGGATGTCATTCCTTGAGCGAGAAAACAGGCGTAGTAGTAGATTTGGAGGAAAATATCATGAGTTCAGTTTGAACCTGCTGAGTTTGAAGAGTTCGTAATACATTAAGGTGGTGATATCCAATGAACCTGTATTTATTTATTACTTTTGCCTTTTAAATAATTCCAACTTTTAGATTAAGAATATACATGTGCAGGTTGGTTACATGGCTATATTGCATGATGCTGAGGTTTGGGGTATGACTGATCCCATCACTCAGGTAGTGGGCATAGTACTCAATAGTTTTTCAACCATTGTCTCCTTCCCTCCCTACCTCTTCTAGTAGTTCCCAGGATATATTGTTGCTATCTTTATGTTCATGAGTACCCAATGTTTAGTTCCAACTTATATGAAAATTGGTATTTGGTTTTCTGTTCCTCCGTTAATTTGCTTAAGATAATGGCCTCCAGCTTCATCCATGTTGCTGCAAAGGACATGATTGCATTCTTTTTTATGGCTGTGTAGTATTCCATGGTGTATATGTACCACATTTTCTTTATCCAATCCACTGTTGATGGGCACCTGGGTTGATTCCATGTCTTTGCTATTGTGAACAGTGCTGCATTGAACATAAAAGTACATGTGTCTTTTTGGTTGAGTGATTTATTTTCTTTTGGCTACATACCCAGTAGTAGTTTTGCTGGGTCAAACGGTAGTTCTGTTTGAGGTTCTTTGAGCAATCTTTCCACAATTGCTGAACTAATTTACATTCCCACCAACAGTGTATAAGCTTTCCCGTTTCTCTGCAGCCTCGTTGACATCCGTTGTTTTTGACCTTATTTTTATTTATTATTTTTTTTTTGAGATGAAGTCTCACTTTGTCGCCCAGGCTGGAGTGCAATGGTGCGATCTCAGCTCACTGCAACCTCTGCCTCCTGGGTTCAAGCGATTCTCCTGCCTCAGCCTCCCGAGTAGTTGGGACTACAGGAACGTGCTGCTGCGCCCAGCTGATTTTTTACTTTTAGTAGAGATAGGGTTTCACTACGTTGGCCAGCTTGGTCTTGAACTCCTGACCTCAGGTGATCCACTCGTCTTGGCCTCTCAATGTGCTGGGATCACAGGCATGAGCCATCGCGCCCAGCCTCTTCTTTTTTTAATAGTCATTCCAACTGGTGTGAGATGTTATCTCTTTGTGGTGTTGATGTGCATTTCTCTGATGATTAGTGATGTTGAGCATTTTTTCATGTTTGTTGGCAGCTTGTATGTCTTCTTTTGAGAAGTGTCTGTTCATGTCTTTTGCCCACTTTTTAAACAGGTTATTTGTTTCTTGCTTGTTCAGTTGTTTAAGTTCCTTATAGATTCTGGATATTAGACCTTTGTCAGATACATAGTTTGCATGGGTTGTCTATTTACTCTGTTGATAGTTTTTTTTTACTGTGCAGAAGCTCTTTAGTTTAATTATGCTCGACTTTTCAATTTTTGTTTTGTTGCAACTGCTTTTGAGAACTTCATCATAAATTATTTCCCAAGGCCAATATCCAGAATGGTGTTTGCTGAATTTTCTTTTAGGATTCTAATGCCCATTTAGATGTATGGGAAAATTGGCCTATAAATACTATAAATGTAGATTTGAAAATCATTGGCAGACAGATGACAACCAAAAATATACAAGTTGGACCAGGTGAAATGGCTCATGCCTGTAATCCTAGTGTTTTGGGAGGCTGAGATGAGAGGATTACTTGAGGCCAGGAGTTTGAGACCAGCCTGGGTGACATAACAAGACCCCATCTCTATAAAATGTTTTTAAAAATTAGCTGGGTATGGTGGCATACACCTGTAGTCCTAACTACTTGGGAGGCTGGGGCAGGAGGGGTGGTTAAGCTCAGGGGTTTGAGGCTGCAGTGAGCTATGATTGTGCCACTGCACTCCAGCCTGGGTGACAGAGGGAGACCCTGTTGAAGAAAAACGGAGATGGAATAAGAAAGGAGAAGGAGAATAAAGAGGAGGAGAATGAGGAAGAGAAGGAGAAGGAGGAGATGAAGAAGGAGCAGAAGAAGAAGGAGGAGATAAAGAAGGAGCAGAAGGCCGGGCGCGGTGGCTCAAGCCTGTAATCCCAGCACTTTGGGAGGCCGAGACGGGCGGATCACGAGGTCGGGAGATCGACACCATCCTGGCTAACACGGTGAAACCCCGTCTCTACTAAAAATACAAAAAAACTAGCCGGGCGAGGTGGCGGGCGCCTGTAGTCCCAGCTACTCGGGAGGCTGAGGCAGGAGAATGGCATAAACCTGGGAGACGGAGCTTGCAGTGAGCTGAGATCCGGCCACTGTACTCCAGCCTGGGTGACAGAGCGAGACTCCGTCTCAAAAAAAAAAAAAAAAAAAAAAAAAAAAAGAAGGAGCAGAAGAAGCAGAAGGAGGAGAAAGAGAAGAAGAAGGAGGAGGAAAAGGAGGAAAAGAAGAAGGGGAGGAGAAGGAGGAGGGAAGGAGACGGGAGGGAGGGGGAAGAGGAGGAGAAGAAATACACTGCTTACAGAGAGTGTATTTTGAGAGGAAAAGAACCTAAAGGATAAAATGCTGATGAAAATCTCCAAGGGAGAGGCAAAGAAAAAGAAAATTGTAAAAGAGATTGAGAAAAACAGACCAGAAACTTTGGATTGGATTAATATGAGTTCAAATTTTGGTTTCAATATTTATTAGCTGTGAAATCCTAGAAGGAAACTTGTGGTAGTTTGTATTAATAGTAGCTATTGCTCTATACCAAATGATCCTAAAACGCAGTGGTTTACAACAGCAAACATCTCACAGTTTCAATGGTCAGGAATTCAGGAGTGATTGGCTTGATGGTTCTGACTCGGCATCTCTCTTGAGGTTCCAATCAAGCTATCATCTACAGCTCCATCATGTGAAGTCTTAACTGGTGCTGGAAGAGTCTCACTCATATAGCTGGCAGTTGGTGCCAGCTGTTGGCTGGGGTGCCTAAATTCTCTTCCAGGTGGTCTTTATCATCCAGGACCTCTCTTCACAGGACAGCTTAGACTTCTTTTCATGATGGTTGGGAGGGTGGGAGAAAGAAAAACACATATGCACCCAAGACAGAAACCACAGTTTTCTTATAATGTAATCTCAGAAGTGACATTGTATTACTTCTACTATATCCCATTTATTAAAACCAAGTCATTAATCCAGCTCACACTCAAGTGGAGGGGATTACAAAGGAGCAATGAGTAACAGGAGGTGGGAATCACTACAGGCCATTTTAGAGGCTGACTACAACAATATTTACACTCTGTGAGGCTGTTTTCTCATCTATAACAAAAATGCTGTAAAGACAAAAATCAATGTGCAAAGAACACAAGCATTCCTATATGCCAACAATAGACAAGCAGAGAGCCAAATCATGAATTAACTCCCATTCACAATTGCTACAAAGATAATAAAATACCTAGGAATACAGCTAACAAGAGACGTGAAGGGGACAGGAAGGGGAATAACACACACTGGGGCCTGTCTGGGTAGGGGGCAGCAAGGGGAGGGAGAGCATCAGGACAAATAGCTAATGCATGCGGGGCTTAAAACCTAGGTGACGGGTTGATAGGTACAGCAGACCACCATGGCACACGTATAACTATGTAACAAGCCTGCACATTCTCCACATGTATCCCGGAACTTAAAGTAAAATAAAATTTAAAAAAGAAAGAAAGAAAGAAAGAACCTCTAGGGCATAGCCCACTTGGGCGGGGCAGGAGGGATGCTGTAAAGATTAAATTATGTATATAATACACATAGTGGATAGTTGCCCAATTAATGCTATAACTATTATTATAATAGCTATTATTCTTACCACCATAAAAACGTGGCCTGAGAGGTAAAGAAAAAAAATCAGATGAAAGAAATAGAAGAAAAGGAAAAGAGAATTCAAGAAAGAAATAGTATCAAATGCTTTGAAGGGACTGAAAAGTGTAATATCCAAAGGGACTGGATGCAATATCCATTTTATTTTATTTTATTTTTTAATTTATTTTTATTTTTGAGATAGAGTTTTGCTCTTTCACTCAGGCTGGAGTGCAGTGGTGTGATAGCTCATTGCAACCTCTGCCTTCCAGTTTCAAGCGATTCTCCTGCCTCAGCCTCCCAAGTAGCAGGGATTACAGGCGTGCTACCACATCTGACTGATTTTTGTATTTTTAGTAGAGACAGGGTTTCACCATGTTGGCCAGGCTGTTCTTGGATTCCTGACCTTGTGATCCACCCGCCTCTGGCTCCCAAAGTGCTGGGATTACAGGCGTGAGCCACTGCGCCCGGCCATAATATCCATTTTATGGAGTAAAGGGGCAAAGCCAGACTGCCCTATGTTTTGGTTTGTTTGTTTTTGTGACAGGGTCTCCCTCAGTCCTCCAGGCTGGAGCACATTGGTGTGATCATGGCTCACGGTAGTCTCAGCTTCCCAGGTTCAAGTGCTCCTCCTACCTCAGTCTCCCAAGTAGCTGGGACCACCAGTGTGTACTGCCATGCCCAGCTAATTTTTTTTAAAAAATTATAGATTCAATGCTATTCCCATCAGACTACCACTGACTTTTCACGGAATAGTGAGACAAAGGTCTCACTATGTTCCCCAGGCTGGTCTTGAACTCCTGCACTCAAGCAATTCACCTGCCTTGGCCCCCAAAAGTGCTGGGATTACTTACACGCATGAGCCACCATGCCCAGCCCAGACTGCCCTATGTTGAAGGATAAATGGGAAGTAAGAAAGCAAGAAGTATGAGTTTAAACCAATCTTTCAAGAAACTTTGCTCTACAAAGAAGACACTTAGGGTATTTAGAAATGGGTGTGAGATCAAAAGTATTTCTATTATTTGTTTACTTTTTAAAATGGGAGGGACTTAAGCATGTTTAATTGCAAATGGGAACATATAAACTAACACAAAAGGAATATAACTGATAAACACATAAAATATGTTTAATAAAACAAAAATGCAAATTAAAACTGATGAAGCATTAAGAAGG